TGTGTTGTTATGTACATAGGTCGGATTCACACCACTGTTGTTCCCTTTTCCCATCCCTACTCATTCCTCCCAGTCTCCTCATCTACTCCACTGATTGTTTATTTTGATGGAATCTCTCCTTTTCTTTTTCCCCATTTTGGACTAGCTTTCACATATCTGAGAAAACACTTGACCTTTGACTTCCTAGGACTCTCTTACTTAGTAACATTGTCTCCAGTTCCATCCATTTACCAGGATATGCCATAATTCTATTCGTTATGGCTAAGTAATACTCCATTATGTATATATACCACATTATCTTTATCTATTCATCTATTGAAAGACACCTAAATTGGTTCCATAGCTTAACTATCGTGAATTGTCTGTTATAAATATTGATGTGGCTGCATCCTTACATTATGCAATAGTGGAATAGCTGGGACATATGGTGGTTCCATTCCTAATTTTTTTGAGAAATTTCCATACTGCATTCCAGAGTTGTTGAACTAATTTGCAGTCCCACCAATAAGGTATGACTATATCTTTTTCCATACATCAGTGCCAACACTTATTATTATTTATATTCTTGATAATTGCCATTCTGATTGAAATGAGATGAAATCTCCATGTAGTTTTGATTTGCATTTCCTTAATCACTAGAGATATTGAACATTTTTTCATGTATTTCTTGGCCATTTGTGTTTGTTTTCAGAAGTATCTGTTCTTTAACCCATTTATTATTTGGGGTTATTTTGGTGGGTTTTTTTAGTTTTTATATATTCTGGATATTAATGATCTGAGGTACAGGTGGCAAAGATTTTTCTCCTGTTCTGTGGGCTCTCTTGTCATGTTCTTTATTGTTTCCTTTGCTCTACAGAGGCTTTTTAATTTGATGCCATCCACTTATTGATTACTGGTATTGTTTCTCAGAGAAAAATAAGGGCTTAATTTCCCCCCACCCCAGAACAAGGTACTGATAGGGAGCAGTCAGTGGAAAGGAAACCTTAGATGGCCTATACTATAATGCAAAAATATTAATGTGATCAAGCATTAAAAGTCATAGCTAGCTCAAACTCAAAGATAGGACAGGATTTCCTGGGAGGGGGACATTTAGAGGTAATTACATAGGAAGTGAAATTAGTTGGAAAGGCCATGAGATCATGCATTCATTTGTTCAATAAATGTTAGCTTAAATGCCTATTATTGTGTTACTTATTCTGCCTGGTATCAGGGATAGAAAAGTCATAAAAAAATAGCTCTAGGCCTTAAGGATTTCTTACTCTTGACAAGGAAAATAGATAAAAAATGCAAAGAACATCTTTAGGGGTGGTGTCTGTGGTGTTATTGAGCTTCACGGCAGCAGGCCTGGCCTTAAAGAGGTCATGCGAGTCCCTGGAAAAATCAGATTGAGGCTTGTAAATCAGTCTTCTGGTTCTTTTGCTCTTTGGACATCTAGCCTGCTTATGACACCCTGTTTTTCCTTTACTCAGTAAATGAAGACTTTTCACCTCATATATAGCCTTTTGTAGGGGCTGCTTCCTCATAAGGTGTGTTATATAGAATGCTAAGAAATATCTCAAACTCAATAATGTAAAGTAGAACTCTTGATTAATCACTTAATTCTCAGAATACCCTAAACTGAAAGTAATCAGCTGAGGGGAATAGCACCACCTTTACTCAGTTGGTTAGACAAAAGCCTAGGAGCCTTATTTTCTTTTCACTTTTATTATGGAAAATTTCAAAAATATACAAAAGGAGACCATACTGTATATATAATGTATACATATAATAAAAAGTGTATATATGTAACAGAAAATGTATATATATAATAATAAATGTATATATATAAAATGTTTATATATAATGTATATAGAAACCTTCTTGTCCCAATCACCTACTTTATTTATTTTTTTTTTTAATTTATTGAGAGAGAGAGAATTTTATTTATTTTTTAGTTCTCGGCAGACACAACATCTTTGTTGGTATGTGGTGCTGAGGATCGAACCCGGGTCGCACGCATGCCAGGCGAGCGCGCTACCGCTTGAGCCACATCCCCAGCCCCCAATCACCTACTTTAATAATTATTCATGGACAGTTTTGTTTCATTTCTACTTCTACCCACTTCTTCCCCCTAGCAATATTATTTTGAAACAATATATCATATCATTTATAAATATTTCGGTGTATAGATCTGTAAGATAATGTGTCTTTTAAAAAACATAATTGTAATGTTGTCATAACTTCTAAAATACTTAGCAAAAATATCATCAAATATCAGGGATCATTTAACACTCCTCTCTCTTTCTCAAATCTTATGTCTGTTTCATCTGCAAGTCCTGTTGATTTACCTTCAGTAGAGTCACTTTTCACCATCTCTGCCACTGCCTCCCTCCTCCTACAGTCACTGCTATCTGTATACTAGAACATCAAATTAAACACTYACTTCTGTTGGCCCCCAAAACCTATTTCTAATTTGCACCAGTTAGAGTAATTCTTTTTAGAATGTCTAAGACAGAATTTGTCACTTATTTGTTCAAAACTCCTGATGAGTTCACATTATCCCTAAATGAAAGTGATTGTTTTCTTTCTCCAGCCTTATCCACCTCACTGTCCATCTTATCTCTCAGTCTCTGCTTGTGATAGAGGAATTATGTATACTGACGATCTTTTTTTCGGTATCACAGATACACTTTTTTTTTTTTAAACCTTAGTGCTTTTGTACTTCATCTGCTTGGAATGTTCTTCCCCCAGATCTTGGCACTGGGTACCCCTCCTTTCATAATGTTCTCTGCTCCAGCGTTGCCTCCTCAGAGACCCCTTCTCAGACCATGTTGCTACTACTCATTTTTCTCTTTTTTAAAAATTTATGTTTTTTTCTTTTTTAAAACATTTTTTAGTTGTTGATGTACCTTTATTTTTTATTACTTTATTTATTTCTGGTGCTGAGGATTGAACTCAGTGCCTCACAYATGCCAAGCAAGGGCTCTGCCACTGACCCACAACCCCACAGTCCCTGTTTTTTTCTATTATATATATTATCTGGCACCATGAAACATTTATAAGTGTATGTCCTCTCTCTTTTAGAGAGCATAGTCTTCCTCTGTCTTGTTTATCACTCAATACCTCAGCATTGTATGTAATAAATAGTATATTGAGTCTCAATGAATGTATATTATGAAAATAATAATTGTGTCCTTAGGACACAAAACATAAAATAGTTCAACATATTTCGGTACATTAAACTAAAAATGTATAGAATTAAGAATATAAAGATAAGGGATCAACTGAGAAAATGAATATAATAACAACAAAGGATTGTTGTAATGCAAGAGATTTATATGCAGAATGTATATATATATATATATATATAATRTATATATATATATTATCACATGCTAGTAATAAAAAGATAATCCATTAGAAAAAAGAGAAAAATACAAAACTGCAATTCATAAGAAAACATTTGAGGGGCCAGTCAGCCTGTCAAATAATACTGTGCTAGTCATCTAGAAAATACAAATTAAAACCACAATGTGATAAAATTATATACTCTTTTTAAAAAAAAAAATTTTGTAGTTGTAGATGAACAGAATGCTTTTGTTTTATTTTTGTATGATGCTAAGGATTGAAATCAGTGCCTCACATATGCTAGGGAAGTGCTCTGCCACGGAGCACCAGCCCCAACCCCAGCCCCCAAATTATATATTCTTAAATTGGCAAAATATGAAAACCTAATAAGAGTATTGGGAAGGTCAAGGAATAACTCATTTGGTAGGTGTGCATATTAGTCCAATTACTTTGGATAGTACTTGGCAATATCTAATGAATTTGAAAATGCATATACCCTATTCACAAAGCTATTCAGTTCCTAGAAAAACTGAAATATGGTCACCAAAAGACTGCCATTGCATCAGTATTTCAGGATAATCTGGAAACAATATAAATGTTAATGTGCAAACTGGGCAAATTGGACAATTGTATGTTTTTACAGTATCCAGTTGTGAAAATGATTAGCTTAGAGCTAAAGGTAGCAGTATTGAATAAAAAAAAGCAAACATATATACATACATATTGTAGAATGTATGTATATATGTAGATGTATGTACATACATCTTTCTTTAAAGTTTGCAATTAGGTATGGATAGTCTAAATGAAAAATATACCCCAAAAAAAGAACTTTATAAACTAATTAACACTCATCTTGATGGTGGGGGGGCATGAGATTAGCAGAGTACAAAGGAAGCTTTATCTCCCAGGAAATTTGGGGAAAATCTTAGATTTGACATAGTCGTTTATGATGTAAAAGGATATTTGTTTATTTCACTTTTATACTTTATTATACCCTATAATTTTACAAAACAACTGTCTCAGTAAATTTTCTTATTTTATGTTTAGGAAGACATTTTCTTATGGTGAAGCTAATAAGATGTAAAGCAAGAAAATACATAGTTTCAGTAATTAAGGTATTTTAAAATTGAGACTACATTTATGGGTAAAATTTTTCTAGGTGAAATTCCTCAAGTTTGATAATAAAAGTATAAGGGAAGCAGATGGACATGGTGGCACACAGCTGTAATCCCAGCTACTTGAGAAGTTGTGAGGCAGGAGAATTGCAAATTTGTGACCAGCCTGGGCAACATAGTAAAATTCTGTCTCAATAAATAAATAAATAAATAAATGAAGTGTAAGGAAAGCAAACTTAATTCCTCTCCTGTGAAGGGTACACATTGGGTATCAATAGCAGATAATGATGACTATAATTAAGAGGAATGATCTCTCAGGAAATCATGAGGATTGAGAGATGGGTAGGTTCTTACAAGTATAAGCCAAAGTCTAGAAAATCATATTCTTGGAGGTTAAGTTCATTTCCTATTGTGTTCTTCCAAGGAACTTTGTCTCCTATGGACAGAGAACTATTAATCCAACTTGGAAAAAATACTTTGCACTGACTGTTAGTTGAATGATCATCAATTGCTCCTTAATGGCCATCCATAATCAAAAGACATTTAATTTAATTTTAGGTGGTTCCCCTCTCTCAGCGAAGTGGTGTTCTTGAGTGGTGCACAGGAACTGTCCCTATTGGTGAATTTCTTGTTAACAATGAAGATGGGGCTCACAAAAGATATAGGCCAAATGATTTCAGTGCTTTTCAATGCCAAAAGAAAATGATGGTGAGTAGCACTCAAAAGTTATTGAAAAATTATTCATAGCTAAAGATACTAAGTTTAAAAAAAAGTAATAGCACTAGGATGAAAGTGTATGAGTAAAAACAGAAAATTTGGAACTATGTGAAGTGCTAGCCCTTGTCAGATGAGAAATGTAAACATTATTCAGTTAAGCTAATTCTTAACAAACAAAATGCCAATTAAAACAAAAAAAAGATTATGTAATAATTTTCTATGAAATTGATAGAGATATTTGCTATGTCAGTGGCCATCTTGTCTGATGTTTATTCACTGTATCAGCAACATTTATTGAATGCCTCCTATCTACTTAGGTACTATGCTGAGTCTTCACAAATATTTTTAACTAATCAACATTYTCGTCCCCTGTGTAAAATGAGAAATTCCAAAATTTACTTTTCTCAAGGTCAACAACCTAATAAGCAGTGTAACAAGGAATTGAATCTTGTCTGTCTAAACTTCAAAATCCATTTACTTTTCATTTTATTGTGCTTTCTATTACATGTTTTTAAAAATATGTTGTAAATGCTATAGGGCATTCATTATAATGAAAATCTGTGTGGAACAGACTGGGTAAAGTGTAGGCATGGAGGAAGAATATGGTTGGTTCTATATCAGGTTAGAAAACAAAGAGATTAGATCACGAAAGGCTTCACAGAGGAGAAGGTGTTTAAACCAAACTTTGTAAGTAAGTGGGGTTTCCAGGCAGAAGAAGCATATAAGCAACAGGAAGGAGGCATGTAAGACAGCATAGGAGGAGGAAGAGATAGATGAGATTGAAGTAGTAGTTGGTCAAAAAATGGAGGGTTGCTTTATGAAATGCTGAGAAGTTTGCACTTTACCTTTGGGCAATATAAGACTCTTGAGAGGGTAGTAATGTTGGATTTGCATTTTAGAAAAATAACTAACAACTTTGTGGGTTGTGCTTTTGAAAAAGCAGATTGGAAGTCTGAGATGGAGTCTGAGCTAAGATTAAGAATGATAGGAATCAAGAATCATGGAGAGATACAAGAAAAATTAAGGAGACAGACCAGGTGCCGGAGGCAAGCCAGGCATGCCTGTAATCCCAGCAGCTTGGGAGTCTGAGGCAGGAGGTTAGCAAGTTCAAAGCCAGCCTCAGCAAAATCTAGGTGCTAAGTAATTCAGTGAGACCCTATCTCTAAACAAAATACAAAATAGGGCTGGAATGCCGCTCAGGGGTCAAGTGCTCCTGAGTTCCATTCCCGGTACATCTCCTGCCCTCCACCAAAAATAATAATAAGGAAGAGGCAGAACTGATAAGATTTGATGGCCAATTAGAAGTGAGGCTGAAAAGCAGTGCCTCCCAGTTATCGTTGGGGTGACCAAGTGAATAGTGAGGCTGTTTGTCAAGATAAAAATAGAGAAGGTGGCTGAGGTTTTCCAAAGATGAAGAGGTCTTTTGTTTGGAATTGGAAGTGATCCAAGTGAAGAGAAGGGGGCAGTTGAAGTAGCACATCAAGCTGGAGTTTGTACCAAAGATGCAGATTTATTCAGTAGACACAGAAGAGAGTTGAGCCCATTGAAATAGATAAGCTTTGCTTCAGAAAAGTATTACATAGCAGGAAGATGTTGGAGGACAGAGACCTGAGACAACATGTCAACTGCTTTGCCATCCATCAATGATTCTTCCATCCTTTCATCCTTTTCTGTTTCTTGTCAGAACCGTAGTGCTGTGATGCCATCTGAAATTATCTGAGGCTACCTTTGGCATTTCTGTGTTTACTTCTATCTAGATTACAAGATCATTCAAATTAAACAACTGTCATTATTTATATGCTTCCTTCCTTTAAACCTAATATAAAAGTCCTGATTATTACTTGTAACTAATTTCTTCTCTGGCCATTGTTAGTGTCTTGTATCTTGCTCATATTTTTATTGCTTCATGCCTATTATATTTTTCATTTAGAAACATAGTGGACATCAGTTTACTTGAACACAGTATTAAGAAAATAATTTTACATGTGRTCTATTTAAAGGAAGTACAAAGGAGGTCATTTGAAGAGAAATACGAGATCTTCATGAATATTTGCCAAAATTTTCAACCAGTTTTTCGTTACTTCTGCATGGAAAAATTCTTGGACCCAGCTGTTTGGTTTGAGAAACGACTGGCTTATACACGCAGTGTGGCCACTTCTTCTATTGGTAACCTTCTTCTACATCTTGGTAGATTAGGACTCTTCTGTATTCTGAATTTCAAGGGGATGATGGTGGTGATGGTAGTTTTTAAACTAGACTATCTTCTTCATTAGGTTGTGTTCTTCCTGACTCTTGGTTTCTAACCATAACTTTTCATAGATTTTTTAGGACTGGTTTCTCTATTTTATCTTGAATATGGCTTATTTTCTCTACCCTCAATAAATTATTTTTGAGACTTTCTTTTGAAAATAAAACCTATGATAACTTTATTTGACTTACTTTCTTGAGTTATTATTCTTTTATGCATAATTTCTATGGTATCATGATACTGTCACCCAGTGATTGATTATATTTAATAGAATCCTTTTTGACAATAGAAATTGTGATATATATTTAAATATTTAATGTGTAACCTATATTTTGACTTTTTAATTTCTAAGAGATTGGAAAAACTAGGTAAGCAATTAAGACAATGTGAAGCTCTCATCTACACGGAGAATCATTCATCTCAATTAAGTGATTTAGACTGTAAATAAGAAAGTAGACCTGCTAAGGCCAGAGCAGACCAAGGGCCTAGGCATCCCAACTCCACATCCTGTATTTTATTTTATTTAATTTTTTTGTAATACTACATGATATCTGTTATTGGATTAAAAGCGTTTAAGGAGCTGGGATTGTGGCTCAGTAGTGTAGAGCACTTGCCTGGCACATGTGAGACGCTGGGTTTGATCCACATAATGTGGAGTTACATATGTATAACCATAAAAATGGGAAGGTATATTCTATACATGTAAAATACGCCAAAATACATTGTCATGTATAACTGAAAAGAATAAAAATTTCTTTAAAAATTAAGAGAGATGACAGCATGCCTTAAAAAGCTTTTTTTAAAAAAAAAAGTTTTTTTAGTTATAGATGGACACAATACCTTTATTTTTATATGGTACTGTGGATCAGTTGTATTTCTTCTGTGAAGTGCTTGTTCAGTTCCTTCAACCATTTATTGATTGGGTTATTTGTTTTTTGAGATCTTTATATATCCTGGAGATTAATGCTCTGTCTGAGGTACAGGTGGCAAAGAGAGAGTAGGCTCTCTCTTCATGTTCTTGACTGTTTCCTTTGTTGTGAAGAAGCTTTTTAGTTTTAATTCATCCCATTTATTGATTCTTTATTTTACTACTTGTGCTATAGGAGTCTTATTGAGGAATTAAGTTTCTAAGCCGACGTGATGAAGATTTGAGCCTACTTTTTCTTCTAGTTAGGTACAGGATCTCTGGTCTAATGCTTAGGTCCTTGATCCACTTTGAGTTGAATTTTGTGCAGGATAAAAGAGAGGGATTTAATTTCATTTTGCTACATATGAATTTCCAGTTTTCCCAGCACCGTTTGTTGAATAGGCTGTCTTTTCTCTAATGTATATTTTTGGCACCTTGGCACCTTTGTCTAGTATGAGATAATTGTATTTATGTGGGAATGTCTCTGTGTCTTCTATTCTGTACCATTGGTCTGTTTTGGTGCCAGTATCATGCCATTTTTGTTACTGTAGCTCTATAGTATAATTTGCTTCCTGCTTCACTTTTCTCTCCAAGGATTGCTTTGGCTATTCTGGGCTTCTTGTTTGTCCAAATAAATTTCATAACTGCTTTTTCCATTTCTATGAAGAACATCATTGGAATTACATTAAATCTGTATAGCACTTTTGGTAGTATGGCCATTTTGAAAATATTAATTTTTAATATTAAAAACAGAAATGCAGTTTTTCCTGGATATATATCTGCTGAAATGAATTAATGATTAATAATTATTCATCCAGCAGAAGAAAGTTTCACTGAAAAATGAATTTACCCATAGACTTGTCAGTTTATAAGTAAATACACAATAGAAATTTGAGTGTATATAGTATGCATTACTTTGGCTCAGGTAAATAATGAATCTCTAACCATGTAAATTTTTAAAGCACTGATATTTCAAAACTTGTGTCTTTTGATAAAGAAAAAAATTTTGGCAGATTGTACAATGCAGTATACATTAAAGTAGCTGGCTATATTATACTTAAACTCAAAATGTCCAATTATGTACATAATATCCTTTTAAAGGCTAAAAAGTGTAAAGTAATTAAACATACAGAGCCAGTGGTATTAGTTGAAATTATAGCTAAATGCATGTTAGAAATAATGAAATCAGTGACTAGAGGTTTTGGTTTTTCCCCCCATAGTTGGTTACATCCTTGGACTTGGTGATAGACATGTACAGAATATCTTGATAAATGAGCAGTCAGCAGAACTTGTGCATATAGATTTAGGTAAGTAATAAAGTATACATATTTTTAATTAATAAATATTTAGTCATCAAGCAATGCTGTTTAGCTACCAGGGTACAAAAAATATGAAGGAGAAAGATACATAAATGTATCGTGTGTGTGTCTGTGTGTGTGTGTGTGTCTGTGTGTGTGTGTGTGTGTGTGTGTTTAAAGCATAAACACTGTGGTGCTGGAAGGAGTAGCTAACTTTACCTGGGATGAGTGAAACTTGGTAGAAGAGAAGACAGTTGAGTCAAATCTTTTTTTTTTTTAACCTTTTATTTTTATTTATTTTTATGTGGTGCTGAGGATTGAACCCAGTGCCTTGCACATGCTAGGTGAGCACTCTACCACTGAGCCACAACCCCAGCCCGAGCCAAATCTTTTAAGAAAGGATGGGCTGGGAACCGTGGTGCATGCCTATGATCCCAGTGGCTCCAGAGGTGGAAGCAGGAGGATCTTTAGTTCAGAGCTAGCCTCAGCAATTTAACAAGGCATTAAACAACTCAGTGAGACTCTGTCTCTAATAAAATACAAAAATAGGGCTAGGGATGTGGTTTAGTTGTCCAGTGCCCTAGTTCAATCCCCGGTTACCCACCCCCACCCCCACAAAAAGAAAGGATGGAAACATCAGGAATGCTAGTATTGAAAAGACTGAGCCAGAAAAACTGGATAAATCACAGAAATTAGGAGGTAGAAGTATCTTTGAAGCTAAAGGAGAAAAAAAAATGTCATGAAAGAAATAGTATTCAATAGTAACTGAAAAATGAAGGCCTATAAAACTAGAAATCTCACTTGAATTTAAAGACAAATTATTTAATAAGGATAAGGGAATAAACAGATTTGGTTAAAATGTAGAATTTTAAGATTTCTAAGAAGGTACACTTTTAGGAGATTATAAATTCTGGGGTATAATCCATAGAAGTAGTTTGCTAAGACAGAGTAAAATCGCTTTCCATTAAAACAGAGAAGGTGGGGCTGGGGTTGTAGTTCAGTGGTAAAGCACTTGCCCCACATGTGAGAAGCACTGGGTTTGATCCTCAGCACCACATAAAAATAAAGATAACTGTGTGTTCATCTACAACTAAAAAAAAAAAAAAAAAAAAACAGAACGTCAAGGATATTATATGGCTTCTGCAGAAAGAATTCCAGAGTTGGAATAAATAGGAAGATTGTGTGCGCATGCCAATGTTCAATGAATTTGAGAGAGTCTTAGGGTTAAGATATAACAAATAAGAAGTGGGAATGGGTTTGTTAAAGTCAGATGTGGTTTTCTCAATAGAAGAGTGAGAGTTTGCATGACAAACAGGAGGGCAGTAGTCTGGAAGATGCAAAATAGAGGTGGAAGTATACCAGCTTTGCCAGGCCATGCTAAAAACATCTTATAGATGAAAAGAACAAATTTGTGAAATCACTTTTGACTGTTTGTCATTATCTACTAAAGGTGAAGATATTCATATCCTGTGAGCTAGGAGTTCTATTCCAACAGAAATGCACATATAAGAATATTTATGGGGGCTGGGGATGTGGCTCAAGCGGTAGCRCGCTCACATGGCATGCATGCGGCCCGGGTTCGATCCTCAGCACCACATACCAACAAAGATGTTGTGTCTGCCGAGAACTAAAAAATAAATATTAAAAAAAAAAATTCTCTCTCTCTCTCTCTCTCTCTCTCCTCTCTCACTCTCTCTTTAAAAAAAAAAAAAAAGAATATTTATGAAAGTACTATTTATAATAGTCTATAACTAGAAACAGTCCAAACACCTGTCACAGGTAGAATGGATGAATAAATACAATGGAATATATATATTCATAAAATGGAATATAATAATTAGATTGAATGAACAATAGTTATATATAATATGAAGACCGAAATATAATCGTGAATGAAAAAATTTACACACAAAATAATATGAATGATAACATTTACATAAAAATCAGAAACTGGTAAGATTAATCTATACTGTTAGAAGTCAGAATAGATAACAGTTTGAAGAAGTGGTGGGTGACTGGTAGGAGGGGACAAAGAAGGGATTCTGGAGCACATTAAGAGTTGAGTACGGGTTACATAAATTTCTTCACTTTTTAAATACTCAGCCCCACACACTTGAATGAGTTGGGTGATTTATATACTTTTCTCTAAATATATCTCTTTGGTCATCTGTTTTACAGAACACCCACCCCCAAACTTAGTAGCTCAAATCACAATTTATTATTATAAATAATAAATCTCTCATGATCTGTAGATTGGCTGAGCTCAGCTCAGAAGTTCTCGCTTAAAATCTCTCATGCAGTTGCAGCTAGTGTCTAGGGCTAGAGTCATCTTAAGACTCAAATGGAAGAGAGTCCAAGATGGACTCTTTTTTCTCAAAAAAAAAAAAAAAAGAAAGAGGAAGAGAGAGAATTTTTTAATATTTATTTTTTAGTTTTCGGTGGACACAACATATTTATTTTTATGTGGTGCTGAGGATAGAACCCAGCGCCGCGTGCATATCAGGCAAGTGCACTACCGCTTGAGCCACATCCCCAGCCCAAGATGGACTCTTAATGTACATGTCTGATGGTTCAGAGCTTCTCCACATGACCTCTCTCTAGCATATCCTGGACTTAGCATCTCAGGGCTCCAAGAGGAAGGAAATAGAAGTTAAGGGCTAGGCCAGCAGCCAGCACAGTATCAAACCTTCTCACTGTATCATTTATTCTGTTACCTGCTTGTCTCTTTTTCCAACTCCCCCCACCTCTCTCTCTCTATCTGTCTCCACCGCCCCCCAACCCACCCCTTGGTATCAGTAGTAACTGTGGGAAATCTATGCAACTCTATTCAAATACAGCAAGTAGTCCTTTCCCCTTGGGTCCCTTTCTCTCAAAAACTCAATAATTTAAAAAATTAAAATAAAAAATCCTTTGCAAAATAGGTAAAAGGTATAAATGGACACTTCAAAAAAAATGCTCAGCAAATAAACACACAAAAAAGTAGTTTAACTGGTAACTTTATCTATAAAAACTAGATTGGAAATAATTTGTATTGTCCTTCAGTGGGCAAATGTTTAAACAAACGGTCACACCCTATCATGCAATACTACTTAGCAATAAGAAATACTGTTTTGAGTTTACAGCAATTTAGATGAATCTCCAGAGGATATGCTAAGTAAAAAGACTTTATCCCAAACAGTTGCATACTCTAATTCCATTTATTTCATAAACTTGAAATAACAAGATTATAAAAAGGGAAAAGAGATCAAAGGTTGTTAGAAGAACAGGGGTGGGGTGGGGAGTGGTAAAGTCACAGGAAGAAACTTGAGTGTGTGACTATATAAGGGCAGTGTAAAGGATCCTTGTGAGAGAAGAGTTATGTATCTTGACTGTTTGGTGTCAGTATTCTGGCCATGATGTTGTACTAGTTTCACAAGATAATTACCATAAGGAGAAACTGGGTAAAAGTATGGTATAGAATGATCTTTCTGTATTATTTCTTACACCTGGGTGTGAATCTATAATTATCTCAAAACAGTTTCACTAAAAAATGTTTTAAAACAAACTGGGCATGGTGGTATACACTAATAAGCGCAGCTATTTGGTAGGCTGAGGCAGAAGTATCACAAGTTTGAGGCCAGTGGCAGCTTGGCCTAACCCTATCTCAAAATAAATTAAGGTCTCAAAATGTATCTCAGTAGTAGAGAACTTACCTAACATGTTCAAGGCCCTGGGTTAAATCCCTAGTGTTACAAAAAAAAAAAAAAAAGTTTAAAAATATACATATCTTCTTCATTTTAAGTTCTACCAATAATTACTTCATTTTCAAAAAAAAAACACACTCTTTAATCAGATTTCTGTATATCAAGAAGTTTTATTTTTGTATTTGAGGTGGATTGCATAGACAGTGGTGGAGACGAGGTACTATATGTTTTAGTACCAATAGAAAAAAATGAAAGATTGTTGCTTTTGCAAAGTTCACTGGTGCTAGTTGGGAAAAATATAAGTCAGCTGTCAGGCCTCCTTACCTGATTGTATTTTTTTATTTTAGGGGTTGCTTTTGAACAGGGTAAAATCCTTCCTACTCCTGAAACAGTTCCATTTAGACTCACCAGAGATATTGTGGATGGCATGGGCATTACTGGTGTTGAAGGGGTCTTCAGAAGGTAAGTGATATAAGGTAAAGGAGAGTAGACAATTTTGGTGTGAAATTATTTGGATTATATATTTATGTAGATAATGGATCAATGGTAGAATTATATTCCAATGCCTTACACTAGTATGAAAAACACCCTGGGTAAAAGCAGTAATAGTTTTTCCTTCTTCTTGCCACCTGGAACTTAACTCAGTCTGTCATGTATACTGTCATTCCTAACCACCTCTGGAAGCAGCCCACCTTTATAACTTTAATGTCTCAGTCCTAGCTAACTAACTCCTTTTATTGATTAGAACTAAGATTGGGTGCTCATTGTTGGGGATATAGCAGAGACTAGTTATGTCTAAAAGGAGCTTATATTGTAGTACAACTGTGTGCTAAAAAAGATTTGCAATTCCTTCTAGTTTTTTTCCCACATAGATCTGTGTACGCCATTTTTTTAAACCAATCTATTTTTTTAACTAAGATGGATTAAAATAATATAAAATTGACCATTTTAAAGAGAATGACCTACATTCCTTACAAAAGAAAAGAACACATGACCAGGTTAAAGGATTCTGATCAGCCACAATTAAAGAAATCAGAATAGGAAAATAATTATTATTGGTTTTCTATTCATTTAGCAAGGATTTAAAGGGTTGATATTACTCATTGATGGAGAAATAAATGAGTACTTTTGTATTGCATGCAAATCATATTAAGTTTGAAACTAAATTTTACATTGCCTTAAATATGATATTAAAGTTTGTATGGTATGCATTAAAAAATAATAATAAAAATATAAAAAGAATGAGTCTGAGGCATTTAGTACATTCACAGTTGTATGCCCAGCACCTCTATCTAGCTCTAAAACATTCTCATTACCCCAAAGTAAAATCTATACAATTAAGCAGTTATTCTCCACCCTCCTAGCCCTAGCCTTTGGCCAACACAAACCTGATTTCTGTCTTATTTTACTATTCTGGACATTTATTTAAATATAATCAGGAAATAAGTTTGGCTTTCATTTTGCATAACATTTTAAGGTACCTCCAGGTTGTAGCATGATCAGGGCTTCAGGGCTTATTGTGGCCAAACACTATCTCACTGTATAGAAGGACCACATCTCATTCATCCATTTAGCTGTCCATGGACACTTGGGTTTTCCCAGCTTTTGCCTCTTGTGAACAGTGCTGCTGTGAACAAACTTGTCCAAGATATTTGTTTGAACACCGGTTGTCAGCCCCTCAGGGTTTCTACCTCCAAGTGGTAGTGCTGGATTATATGGTATATTCCATGTCTAACCTCTGGGGAGTTACCAAATGATTTTTGCCAGCTGCTGAACCATTCTGCATTCCCACCAGCAACAACTGAGGGTTCCCATTTTCTACTTTCTCTCCCCAACACTTGTTATTTCCCTATATTTTTCTGATTACAGTCACTGGGGGTATAAAGGTATGTCCCACTGTAGTCCCTGCATGAGTGATGATGTTCAGCATTTTTTCATGTTTGTAAGCCATTTGTGTGTCCTCTTTGGAGGTCCAGTCTGTTTTTCATTTTTCACTTATCCAGGCATGGTGGTACATGCCTGTAATCCCAGCAACTCAGAGACTGAGGCAAGAGTATCGAAAGTTCAAAACCAGTCTCAGCATTTTAGTGAAACTTTAAGCACCTTGGCAAAACCCTCCCATCTCATCAGATTGTTCCAAGGATTGAGTTCCAAAAAGAGCCTAGTGAATTGCTTAAGTCCCAACAAACCCTACGTCTGCACCTGTTTTCCCCAAGATTCCAGTGGGAAGAGACCTAGCAAGCCAGAGGCTTCCCAGATGCTTCCCACCCAAGACACCAGTGAAGTCAGAGCCCTAGCCTCCCCACCCTATACCCTGGCCATTTCCTARGCCCGGTGAGGCAGAGGTAGGAGGCCAGGGTGGCCGCTGTCACTATGACAACTGCCAGCGGTGTCTCGGCCAGCGTGGCGTAGGCTGGCTGACCCTGAAGTCCTAGCCTGGGAGGCCAGTGGGTCACCCCAAGAGCAGCGCCCAAGCAAGAATACCCCGGGGTCCACGGTGGACCCACCACAGCACCCGCTTCCAGGCTGTACTCAATTTTGATTGGAGCAGATTCAAATCAAGTAAACTAGTATTGCCACAATAATCAAGACTGAAAGAGATGTTTCATAGTAGTATTTTTTCTTATAAATGCTAAGCTTATGAAACATTTATATGTATGTATTTGTATTCATTTCAGAAACGTCTGTTAAAAGCTTACCTTTTTTTAACTATTTTTTTTAGTTGTATTTGGATACAAGACCTTTACTTTATTTATTTATTTTTATGTGGTKCTGAGGATCGGACCCAGTGCCTCAAATGTACTAGGCGAGTACTCTACTACTGAGCCACAACCCAGCCTCAAAAGTTTACTTTGCCAAGTTCTTTGAGGTATAAATTTGGGAATTCCTAATTAGGATAGTCTCAGAGTATGACACATGAGTGTCTATAAGTAAATATGTGTTGAAAACAGTATGCAGTAAAATCCATATTATAATGTGTTTGGCTCTGTAGATGCTGTGAGAAAACCATGGAAGTTATGAGAAATTCTCAGGAAACTCTGCTAACCATTGTAGAGGTAAAGTATATTATAAGGAAATCTTTATTTCTCTACCATGTAGTGCACTTTGTTAGGAAGTCATTGATTTAAAGAGCACTTATTCATTTTATTGCAGTGGGACGCTACTGGGCAGCAAGAGAGAGATTACACACTAAGCATTTTCACACATCAAAAATTTGGGGGGATTGGGGTTCTCCTAGCACCTGCGAAGCGCTGGGTTCGATCCTGAGCACCACATAAAAATGAATAAAATAGATATAAAAAATTGGGGGGGGGGGTTAGAAATGCCTCCAGTTTCAGTTAAGTATTTTTTTATGCACAGGTAGCTTTGGGAGTTCTTCATAGGTATATTCTAGGTTTACACTTACCAAAAGGGCACATTCCTTTAGGACCTCAGAAGTTTAGTTAAAAATCACTCAAGAGCTTCATCTTTAAAGGGTAATAAAAGAGGAAGTCAAAGAAGTAATGTTGCTTAATCACCTATAAGGATTTCTACATCATTGTAAGGACTGTGGATGTACTCCAAAAGGGTTTGGAGTCCAAGAAGTGATTTGCATCTCTACCTATAATAACTGTCATTTCTGAACATACCTCCCTAATGCTTTGTGATTTTTTTTTTAACCAGCCTATCTGATATTCCCTTTGTAAATCTGTCCAAATTTCTAGAACTCATTTGCTATGGTTGTCCCATAGCAAATGAGTTCTAGAAATGGTTGTTACTGACCTATTGTTGTGAGAGTAATTTCAAGTTGATTTTACTATATAATTCCTGGCTTCAACTTCAGGAGGGTACTTCTCAATAGCAAAGTAGGTGCCAATTGTCTGGGAGATCATTCTTCTCTTGAATTCATTATTTTTCTTCTGTTAGGTTTCATTGAATCACAGTTACTATTTCTGATCTAATTACAATTTAAACATCTCCCTCCTTTCTAAACCTCTCTTTCAGAGCGCTTTGGGTGCATTTTCCTTTCTCTGTCTTTCCTGGCCTTCAAGGTCTTGTTTTCTTCACAGTGGATCATCATGTCCTCCAAGGTTTTATCTGTTCTACTAAGGAAATATTTTTCTCCCTCTAGCTCAATGATACTTATCCAAGGACAATTTTGTTGCATGGAGGATATCTGTCAATGTCTGGAGATACTTTTTGTTATCACAGAGTGGGTGGGGGTTACAGTTGACATCTTCTAGGTAGAGGCTGGACTGCTGCTGATCATCCTACAGTACACAGCTCCACAATAAAGTATCCAATCCTAAAATTATGATATTAAGATTGAGAAACCCTACTGTAGCTTAATCAGTTTGTGTTCCTTTATTGTTTTCAGCCACTTCTGTCTGGGTCCTCTTCTGTTTGGGTAGTTAGACTAAAGCTTATTTTTTAATTCCATTTCCTCCCTAATTCCAATATATTCAAATATGATTCCTGACACAAGCCATTGGTTGTTTTTTTAAAATTTTTTTTAATTTATTTTTTATTTATATGTGACAGAAGAATGCATTACAATTCTTATTACACATGTAGTGCACARTTTTTCATATCTCTGGTTGTATACAAAGTATATTCACACCAATTCATGTCTTCATACTTGTACTTTGGATAATAATTAAGTAATTTGTGTTGTTTCTATACTTCAACCCAAGATGACTACATAGGGTCTTTATAATAGAGGACTTCATTCCTTCCCATTAGTTGACTAATAAAATATTCTTCTCTTTTGTGAATAAAACTCATAACTTATGTCCTGGTTAAGGGCATTTGCTTCAGAGGCCCCAATTCTCCATCAGGTGGCCTGTCTCAAGATAAAGATTTGTTAAAGTCCAATCTGAAGTCACACTTATGAACAAGGCACATGTAATCATTGTCAGTCTCTTCCCTTCATAGTTTTTAATGGCCTGAAAGAACAATCAAAACAGCATCATAAAATATGAAGAAATGTTTGGACTGTTAATCTAGCATATCCTAGAACTAAACCCACTAAAGACGTTTTATAATCCCAATATGTGGTTGTACTGAGAAGCACAGTAAAATTAGCAACAATAAGTATTCCAGCCTTTTAATGCTTGCATGTCCTGCAGAAACTTTTTTTCTATAATTTACTCTTCATTTATTCTTAAGACTCCTAAGGATTTGCTAAAGCCTAACTACAAGGGGAGGGGTGTTTCTAAGCTTATAAACACCAGGGCAGTTAGCTTTTTTGAACTGTCAAATTCAGAAATCCCTCATGACCTTACTTTGTAAATTTCATTTTTTTCTCTTTCTAATAAAGTGCCATTGGGAAGTTGGGGCCTACAAAACAAATATCCTTACCTATTACCACATTGGTCAGAGTAGAAAGTGAAGGAATGGAACTCATTAGAGCTTATCTCCTTTTAATAAACAAATTCACCTAGTCAGGAAACGTGCCAATGGATATCACTCCAGATATGGAGGAAAAATGAATTTAGAACAGATTAGACCCTCAGAACATGATGTCATTAAAGTTTCTTCCACCAGGAAACATGAAGATGCTTGATAAGTTTGCTCCCTCTCCTCCTATCAACTACTGTGTTACTGACCTATTGTTGTTTTTCTAACCCTGACTCCATTCTTTATAATACATGATCAGGATGCACATTGTTCTTCTAATACACATGTTCTCTCTGTTAGGTTCTCTTGTATGATCCACTCTTTGACTGGACCATGAATCCTTTGAAAGCTCTGTATTTACAGCAGAGGCCAGAAGATGAAACTGAGCTACACACCACTCCAAATGCGGATGACCGAGAAAGCAAACGAGATCTTAGGTGAGTAGTATTTTAGGAAGAGTCTGTTGTCAGTTTATGTTTTCTTACTCCCAAGACCCTTAAAATTGCTCTACATCATTGACACTTTTGTGTTTTCGTCATTAGTGATATTGACCAAAGTTTCAACAAAGTGGCAGAACGTGTCTTGATGAGATTGCAAGAGAAACTGAAAGGAGTGGAAGAAGGCACCGTGCTCAGTGTGGGTGGACAAGTGAATTTGCTCATACAGCAGGCTATGGACCCCAAAAATCTCAGCCGACTTTTCCCAGGATGGAAAGCTTGGGTGTGATCTTCAGTATATGAAATACTCCTTGAATTCAACCTTTAGAAATTGTATTTCAGCTTTCATTTTCAACCCATTCACAGTCTTTAAGTGGGGATTAATATTTAAGTGAACAACTGTGTTTTTGAAAAAAAAAAATGTTTTCTGCTTGATTCATTCATCACCCAAAGATGCTGTGATAGTGTCCAGGAAGCTATTTGCTTTCACACATTAAAAATGACTGTTATTCTTGCCCTACTTATTGGCTAAATTTTTATTTCTTCTCAATAGCATAGTCATGGCATTTTCAATGGAATCCATGATTTATCCATTAGCTGAGAATGATGAAACAGCAGAACAATGGTTGTTCCTTTGGTATAGATTATAACAAAAATACTGCTATTTTAAGGTGGCTTTTAGTTAAAACTTATTTCCCAGATATTACATATATGTATGTGATAGTTTTCTATAAAAGGGGGAAAACTCTAAAATTGTAACCATGGTAAAGCTACATTAAAAATAAGAATATAGGACTGGGAGTGTGACTCAGTGATAGAGAGGTTCCCTGAGAGGATGAGGGAGGGACAAAGGATATTGAAAACAAAGTAGTGCAGGTTGAGCATTCCTAATCTGAAAATCCAAAACAAAATGTGTCAGTGACACAGACCTCTCTAACTTTACCCAGAATTTTCTGAGTGTCATTTTGGTGGATTTTCATATTAGGGATGCTCAGCTCAGAGTTTATACAGATACTTCAAAGTCAGAAATACTTCTGGTTCCAAGCATTTTGAATAAGGGATATTCAGTCTGTATTCTAAAAATGTGTTTGTATTTTCAGTATGGTCACCTAGAGTTACAAAATAATAAAAATGTCACCGAGAAATTCAAAGACATGGTTAGTGTAGTTACTATTTTTTAAATATATATATACATAAAATGTATATATTTCCCTATTCTAAAACTTAAGTCAGACTTCAAGATTAGAATAGACTAGTCTTACAATTTAGAAAGCTAGTATACTGGTTTGAAATATATTGTTCCATTTCAAATGTTTTAATTGCACCTTAATGAAATTATGTAGTTTTGTTTTAATACTACTAAATGTATTGTTACCTGAGTCTATTATAAAATGGTTTTTCAATAAATAATTCTTCAAGTTTATACTAAAATTGCTCATTTCATTCAGATATTTGACCATTGTGTGTGCCAGGAATGGGGATAGGTTTTTTTTTTCCAATTTTTATTTTTTAGATATTCATGGCAGTAAAGTGTATTTTGACATATTTTACATACGTGGAGTATAACTTATTCTAATTAGGATCCCATTCTTTTGGTTGTAGAGGATGTGGAGTTATACTGGTCATATATTCATATGCAAGGATTGGAAAGTTATGTCAAATTATTTCCACTGTCCTTCCTATTCCCCTCCCCCTTCCCTTCCCTTCCCTTCATTCCCCTTTGTCTAATCCAGTGGATGTCTATTCTTCCCCACCCCCACTTTATTGTAGGTTAGCATCCACATATCAGTGAGAACATTCAGCCTTTGGTTTTGGGGGATTGGCTTATTTCACTTAGTATGATGGTCTCAAGTTTCATCCATTTACCAACAAATGCCATAATTTCATTCTTCTTTATGGTCGAGTAATATTCCATTGTGTATATACACTACATTTTCTTTGTTCATTCATCTGTTGAAACACCTAGGTTGGTCCCATGGCTTAGCTATTGTGAATTGAGCTGCTGTAAACGTTGATGCGCTGTATAGTATGCTGATTTTAAGTCCTTTGGGCTTAAACCAAGGAGTGGTTCCATTCCAAGTTTTCTATGGAATCTCCATACTGCTTTCCAGAATGGTCGCACTAATTTTCAGTGCCACCAGCAATGTATGAGTGTACCTTTTCCTCTACATCTTTGCTGACATTTCTTATTGCTTGTATTCTTGATAATTATCATTCTGACTGGAGTGAGATGAAATCTTATAATAGTTTTGATTTGTTTTTTTTCTAATTGCTAGAGATGGTGAACATTTTTTCATATGTTTGTTGATCGATTATATTTCTTCTGTGAAGTGTCTGTTCAGTTCCTTGATTGGGTTTGTTGTTGTTTGTTTGTTTTTGTTTTGTTTTGGTTTGGTTTTTTGGTGTTAAGTTTTTTGAGCTCTTTATATATCCTGGAAAGCAGTACTCTATTCGATGTGCATGTGGTAAAGATTTTTATCCCATTCTGTAGGCTCTCTCATCACATCATTGTTTCCATTACTGAGAAGAAGCTTTTTAGTTTGAGTCCATCCCATTTATTGATTCTTGGTTTTACTTTTTGCACCTTAGCATCTTGTTGAGGAACTCGGTTCCTTTCTAACTCCCTAAGAATTTCCCCCGAGTGACTGGACGCGGACGATAGATGTGTCTCTGTGTCTTCTATTCTGTATCATTGGTCTTGATGTCTGTTTTTATGCCAATACCACAGGCATGAGGCTAGTTCTAAGAAGACCACAGTGAGCCACGCAGGCAACGTCTGTACATGTAGAGGTCAGAGTCTGGAGAAGATAGACACCAGACCAATATTGCAACTGGGAGCCTACAAAAGTCAATGTAACATGCTGCATCTCAGTCTAAATATTCTAGAAGTGTTTCTTAGTTTCTTCATGAAAAAAGGGCAGATAAATTTTCTTTGGGCCTACAAAGTGATCTAGTTGACATTTCTAAAATCTAAAAGATCAATTTATGACAGGTACAAAAATTGTAATATCCTAAATGTGAAGTTTGCCTTCCATCTGCTTATCACGGTTTTTTTAATATTTATTTTTTCTTTATAGTTGGACACAATATCTTTATTTCCACTTATTTATTTTTATGTGGTGCTGAGGATCGAACCCAGGGCCTCGTGCATGCAAGGCGAGCGCTCTACCGCTGAGCCACAACCCCAGCCCCAAATCACGCTTTTTTAATAAAAAATATGTTTATGGCGCCTTTGCTGTTCTTTAGGATTTCAACCTTTTTTATCTTCTTTCTACAAAATGAATTTTACATACATTGTAGTCAAAGTTTTCACAAGGATTATTAGATTTTGAATTGGTGATTAAGGTAAAGATTTCATGTGGTGAAATCATCCCCTGAAAAATTCCTTACTTTGCCCTTAAAATAAAACATGTAGTTTTATGTACAGCAGGATGGAAAAATGTAGAGTTTCATGGTATATTATTTAGAATCAGTGGCTCTTAACCAGGGGTGATTTTGCTTCTCCTTCTTGATATTTTCAAACTAACATTTTTACTATTTTGTTGGGTGCAACATGCCTTCATGTCTCATTTTAATTGACTAGGAAGATTAAATTTTTTGCATGTTTGTTGGTCAGTATGATTTTCTCTTTTATAAACTGCCTCTGTGTTTTATTTGCCAATGTTTCTAGTAGTTCTTTATTGGTTGCATAACATCATTGCTAACATTTTACCATTCTGTGTCTTGTCTTTTTATTCTCTTAATTTAGTTTTCTTGGTCACATTTTTTATTGCTTAATTCATGATTAAATCTGTCACATAAGACTTTTTCCTCTGTTCTTAGACCTTCTCTTAATGAAGTTTTACAAATTTCCTTGTAGAGATTTGCATACTTTTATGTAGCTGATCTGTAGGCACTTCTATTTTTTTGTAAAGGGTATTTTTTACAGGTTTTTTATTATTGTCAGCATTTAGAATTAWAGTTAGTTGTTGCATACTGATTTTCTATTCAGTAACTTTAGTAAACTTTTCTCCTTTCTAGAGGCATATCTGGATTGTTTTGGATTTTATAGTTTGTAATCATATCATCTATGAACAATTTCAGATTTCTTTCCAAATCTTACATTGTTTATTGCTTTCTCTTGTTCATTGTGCTGATTAGTTACAGCCTCTCTTTAATACAAATATCAGTAGAAGTAGTAATACTGAAACATTCTAATCCTGTGTCTGATCTTAAAGGTGAAAGTGTCAGTGTTTCATATTAAATTTTCAATTTGCTGCAGGGTTTTTAAAATGTGTATATATCCCTTATCAGATTAAAAGAGTTCCTTCCTGTTACTAGGTTACTGTGAGGTTTTATCACAAATGGTGAGTTTTAGAAGTTTATTTGAATTTATTGAGAACGATTACTTGCCTTGAATCTGTCAGTCGAATGAATTACATCGTTTGATTTCTAATATTAAATCATCCTTACACTTATAAATCCTCTTGGTTTATTCTGTATATTACTTTATTCTTTTTGCTAATGTTTTGGTTAATATTTTCACATGAGAATTCCTTCCCAGATTTTCATGAGAAATTTGTGTTTTTCCAAATTTTGAATCACAAGAGAAATCAGTATTAAAAAAAACTCTCCAGTGAGAATTAAAGTTTAGCAATTAACATTACTGATTTGAAAGAGTCCATTGATACAAAGGACATGAAACACTGACACATAGTGTTGAAGGTTAAGGTCAGCATCTCTAAACCAGGACAGAAGTACTTGGAAAAGAAATGCTCATAATCTTGCTCATAGCCTACGTGTGAGTCTACTAATGGCGAGTCAGATTTTAAACTGTGTTCAAACACATAACAAAATTTGACATCTCACTCATTTTCAGGTATACAATTCATGAGTGTTCCATCATTTTTACAGTGTTCAACCAATCTCCAGCACTCCTTTTACCTTGCAAAACTGAAATTGTGTATGCATTCAACAACTCATTTCCTCTATTCCTATGCACCCCCTGGAAACCACCGTTTTATTTTCTGTCCCTATGAATTTGACTGTTTTGTTACTTCATATAAATGGAATCATATAATATTTGTCTTTTTGTGACTTTCTTCAGTTAGCAGCATCCCCAAGATTCATCCACATTGTAGCACGTCACAATTTTCTGTCTTTTTTTAAGACTGGACTATTCCGCTGTGAGTGTATATATATGTATATATACACACATGTATGTATATGACATTTTAATTATCCTTTCCTCCATTGATGGATACTTGGATTGTCTCTGTCTTTTGACTTGTGTGACTGTTGATGCTGTGAACATGGAATATAATTTGGATCGGAGTGTCCCTCGAAGTCCCATGTATTTCAGGTAAGATCACTAGTCTGTGGTGCTGTTGGGAGGTGGAACACTTAGGAAGTGAGGCCTTATGGAAGGAAGCTGGATCACTGGGGACTCTCTTTGCTTTCTGGTTGCCTTGAGGTGAGTACCTTTGCTTCAACCACATGCTTCTCAGCATGATGTTCTSCCTCACCACAGCCCCCAAAACAGTGGAGCCAACTGACCATGGACTAAACCCTCTGAAAATGGTAGCCAAGTTAAATTGTTCCTTCTTATGAGTTGATTATCTTGGGTTTTTTGTCGTAGCAACAGAAAGCTAACACATGTGTATGAAATATCTCTTCAGAACTCTTTTACATATTTCTTTTGAATATTTTACATAGTTCTAGTATTGGAACTGCTTAATCGTAGTAATTCTATTTTTTAATTTAGCTTATTAAACTCTCCATTTAATACCCATAACATAGTTTATTGAGATTGACAATAGGTAACATGAATCTGTTATTAATTAAAAAAGAAACAGTTTAATAATATGTAACTTTCTTCCTTTTCCAAATGAGCACATGAAATATAATGTATGCCTTATCAGACCTTTTAAAAAATATTTCCAACTGATACATAAAAACAAAAATTACACAAATTAATGGGATACCAGGTAATGTTTTGATATATGTATATATTGTGTAATGTTCAAATCAAGTTAAAGAGATGAATCTTCTCAAACATTTGAAAAATCTCAAAATTTCTTCCAGCTTTTAATTGATAATAATACATTATATATTATAAACATACAATTACATATAGTCACCCTGCTATGCAGTAGCACCACAACTTCTTACCCAATTGTAACATAGTCTCTTCTAATGAACCTTTGTCCACTGCTCTTGGTAACCTTTGGTAACCACCATTCTTTTCTTAACTTCTGTGAGACAGCATTTTTAGATTCCACATGAGTAAGACTATGTGACAAGTCAAGTTAGTCAGGCACAGTAATGATCTTCAGTTCCACCCATGTTATCGAAATGGTAGGATTTCATTCTTTTTTTTATGAATGAA